CCAGTCACTGAGTTTGTTACTCTGCATTCTTTTTCTGTAAAGAGAACGTTGTTTCCTTTATCACATATTTGAGATACGCTCAAAAGATTATGTTGTAGACCATTTACATAATATACGTTCTCAATTGCATGAGTATTCATTGTTCCAACCTTTCCAATTCCTTGAATTTCTCCACTTTTACCATTACCAAAGGCAACGTTTCCTCCTTTGATGTTCTTGAGTGAGAGGAAACTTCTTTTATCTCCAGTCATGTGTCTTGAGCATGCACTATCCAAGTACCATTGTTGCTGCTTCCTCTTCACTGATCCCTGCAATTTATTGTTGGATTTTAGATTTTGGTACCAAAATCTACTTTGATTTAAGCTTAAGGAATGGGTGAATAAGATTTCTTCTGGCCCATTTAGGAAGAGACTTGTCTATTGGGATTTGTTTTTCCTCATTGGGTTTATCATGATGAGGTTTTCTCAAGGATTTCAAGTTTTTGTTATGAGCATTTTGTTTCTTTTGACAATCATGACTTTTATGTCCTACCAGTCCACAGTGCATGCATAAACAGTCTATGTTGGGATTTTTTACTTGAGAGCTGGTTCTATCAAAACCTTTCCCATGTTTCTCAACTGTGCGATTCTTGTGAATGCTGTCAAGCAGTATGGAGGACCTGGTCCATCTCATTCCATTTTCTGCTTCAGTTTTAGTCACAAGAAGCTCTTTGGAGAGTGTTTCATTCCTTTTAATTACCAGTTCTAGATTTTTACTTAGTTTGGTATTCTTGGATAAAAGATGAAGATTCTGTTTTTCAAGACTCTTGTTTTCTTCTCTTAGTGATGCATAGTCTTCCATTATCAGTTCTCTTTTTGAGTCTATGGTTTTATATTCATCAATGAGAGTGTAGAGTAATGATTCTAGCTCTCTTTTTTAGTATGAACCTAGATTGTCTTGTAAGTTATGAAGACTAACCTTTTCATTTATGTCTTCTTCTTCTTTTTCTTCTGCAGAATCTGATCCAGCCATAAGTGCTAGTATGGTTTCTTATGATCTGCAAGTTTCCCTTTCTTCCTTGTTTTCCACTGCTACAAGGGCAAGAAAGTCATAATCATCTTCTTGTTCTAGTGCAAGAAGAGACC